TTTGTCAAATAAAGAATGTTTTGAAGTGTGAAATTAATTTTGGGACAATCCAAAAAGGAAAGTGAGAAATTGTTTACGGGACGGAGGGAGTATATGATTTCAAACTGATCTGGTTCTGATATGGATTGTTATATTAAATTCCAAGATCGACATCATAATTATACATGATTATATATTGATAGATTTGACATTTGAGAATATCTGGATTCATGACAGATGAATGAACAATAATTTCTCTTATCTCATCTGCCTCTTTTCATATGAACAAGAACATGTTCGTTTTTTGGTAGGGTGGCACACGCACAAAAAAACATAAAAAAACATTCCAATTCAACACAACTTTTTGTTACTGCTTTGTGATGGTAGTAATATGTTGGAGACTTAGAATATTGATCTTTTTCTTTTGAATATTACGGATACTTTTTAGTTTAGTCTTGTAATTGTAGATCAACTATCAAGTAATTGTCTATTTTATGGCTGTGAATATTAAAACGTGTTTGGTCTTTTGTGTTTTAAGTTTGAAATTTCGTGCCACTAATCATGCGTTTGTTTTTCAAAATAAAAAGATGATTAAAATATCAGTTCTTAAATTTTAATACATTATTTTAGGAGTCCGTTAAGTTGGACAATAGGGATTGCAGACCACTTAAAATTGATCATCTTGCTCCTAGTTTTAACAAAACCTACAATTTAACAATTCAACAAATACGAAATAAAGTAAAACCTACAACCTCTTGAAGAATAAACAAAAATTAAATAAAAATGTTGAACTAAATGAAACATTTGGAAATAATTAGAGATTGCATTCGTAAAAACAAAATAGCAACAAGCCATCAATGTTCATTCATGTTGCGTTCTGGCCTGATTCATCTTGACTTGCAAATTTGTCTAAACACCAAGACATTTATTATCGACTTTTCGAACTTTCAACCGACTTCCACCCTCCATCATATCGTGATGGTTCGGGAGGAAGCAACATGACGTGATGATGAATAATGAGCATAGTTTCAAACTATGGTCATCCCTACGATCGATTTGTGGCAACAACAAGGCACTTATTGAGTTTGTGGCCTGACGCACGGTAGAGCTCTCAAACCATATGAGGGTGTTCTATTCTATGAACATTAAAACATATTAGTTCCTTAAAATTTTGTCATCTTTTGTTTTGTTCAAAATTTTAGTTTTGCCACTTTCTCTTTCAATCAATTAATTTAATTCTCTCCTTTACACAAATCTCAAACAAACAATTTTTACTTTATTATTTCATGTGCATATCGATCAAATTTAGCAAATTTTTAAAGGACAGATGAAGTATATTTAGTGATACTTGGTAGTTAGTACTAACTCTTCCAATAATAATTTGATTAAAAAGTAGAGGGAAAACTATCAAATAAGCCCTCAACTATATCGAAAAAGTCAATTAGGCCCTCGTACTTTAAAAACACCCAATTGTATCCTTAAACTATACAAAAATGTTCAATTAAGCCTTTTAATAGGTAAATTTACCGATTCTTCCGGTTAAATGTACATGTGGCATCGACATGGCACCCCCCCCCCCTCTCCTCTTTAATTATTTTAGGTATGACTAAAGCTCAACGAGTTTCTCAATCTATGACCTAACTAGTTTTCTTCCCAAAATAATTATAAAATTCATAATATTTAATAAAAATTCGTAATTAATAAATGATAAATAATTTTGGAGGACAAATATACCCCTTTAGCTTATACCTATAAAATCCTAATCTTCTTCTCTATTTTTACAACCCTAGCTACACCTCCTAACTCCCACCCACGCACAACCACCAGCCGTCTAGCCACCGCCCGCAGTCGTCCAGTGCCGCCGCCTTCCACAAAGAGCACATTCACCTTCTGTCCAGCTGCCTGCCACCGCCTACCAGTCGTTCACAGGGCGATGTTTTTCACGCTAGCGCTGGAGATCCAGATTTGTCCAACCAAATTGGGGATCGAAACTTGGGCAACACGAGAAAACCGCTCGAGGGATTACGTATGAAGGGAGGACTTGACTGGAGATGGAGCTCCAGTCCGTGTGGCATGCGGCAACTTCGACCCTGGCTGCAAAAGAGAGCGTCCATGGTGCGGTGAGTACTCTAGGAGGAGTTTGCTTGGAGCGATTCAAAAAACACGATCAATTTCAGACCTCTGCAACAACAAAATGGGAGAATATGGGTCTTCTTCAAGGCGAGAGGAATGCCCTGTGACACAGATTGCTTTTGAGAGTAATTTTTTTTATTGAGAGTTGGAATTGAAATTGATTTTTGTATGGAGAGTAATTTGTTGAAAACTTGGAACACGAACTTGGCACTACCTCGATTTTTCTTCTTCCCCTTTATGAATTTCTTGGGCAGTGAATATGTGGTGTGAAAATGGGCATTGAATATCTTAATGAATGCATTAATAAAATTTGTTGTGCACTGATTATGTCCAGCAGAGCCATTAACACAGCGCAATAATGTCGTCATGAAATGCAATATACGAAGTACTTGATTTGATTAGATGTAAAATAATAAAATTATTAAATCTAAAAAATAAAAAAAAATAAAAAACTACAAATAAATTCCTAAAGTGTATGAGAAAAGAATTAATTTTGGCGGAAGTGCAGTGATAATTATTATCACATGTGCAGTAATGTTGTGCAGTAATGTCGTGCATTAACGAAAATATAAAATGCAGTAATTTTAATTGGACGAAATTAGTGTAAAATGCACATATTTTAAATAAGGATATTCTTGTCATTCAACATTAAAATATAAACGAAATTATCTTTTTTTTTGTATTTTCGGTCATAGAAAAGTCGAAAAACATAGTTAGTCATATTTAGAGAAACTCAATGAGTTTTAGGGGGTGTTTGGATCTGATTCTCAAAACTGATTCTGCTCCTTCAGGGAGCAGAAACAGAAGCTGAAGTGTTTGGGTGAAATTCCAGAAGCACTTCTGGAGCTCTAATTTACTCTCAGAATCAGTTTTTTTAGAAGCTGGGGATACCAGCTTCTGAAAACTGATTCTGATTCTGCTTCTGCTTTTAAAAAAAAGCAGAAGCAGAATCAGTTCCAAACACCCCTAGTCATCTTCCGATAAATTTCCCTCCTCTTTTATTTCCTTTTCTTTCTTTTTCTTTTCTCTTTTTCTTTCCTTCCTCCTTTCTCCCGTTTCCTTTCTTCTCCGTTTCTTCCCAGATTGCAAATATTATTTCCTTCTTCCTTTCTAACTTTCTTCCATCCGGACATCCAGTCCAGTTTATTCTTCTCCAACGACTGCAAAATACTATGTATTTCTTTCTTCTTTTCTAGCTTTCTTTCGGTCCGATTTATTCTTCTTCTCCCTATTGCTTTACTCGCCGGTTTCTGTTCTCCAGAAAATTTATCTGCCACCATCCAGCAAGGCACCTGCAAGGTTGCAACGGAGAAATGGAACTACTGAGACATCTTCTTACCACTTCAAAGAAAAGCGACGGCGACAATATACCACGTATAAATAAAAATTTGCCGGCGAGAAAAACTGAGAAAGGACAGCGGTGATGCCCCCAACGCCGGAGAAGATTGTAAATGTGAACGATGGCAACGAACGGCGACAATATGCTCGAACCCCAACAATGGCGTCGGATTTCACTGGAGATGGTGGACGGAGTCTCCGGCGCTGGTGGCAACTGGCAAGTCTCGGAAGTATTGCTGCGAGCGGATCTACGAAGAGAAAGATAACAGCGAAAAGAAAAAGAAAAGGAAAAAATATAAGGGAAAAGAAAAATATTTCCACGTGGATGCCACATGTACGTTTAACCTGGAAACTGGTTACATATATACCGACTATGATGCTTGATTGAACGTTTTCTAATAGTTCGAGGATTTAATTGAGTGATTCTAAAGTACGGGGGCCTAATTGACTTTTTCGATATAGTACGGGGCTAATTTGATAGTTTTCCCAAAAGTAGAGGTGGATAGGTATTTACTACGTAGTATGCCTCTCTATTCCTAGTATGTGCATTGCAGGTTCACTCGAGGGTTTTCAGACTTATATTCATTCCGATTATTTTTAGTGTTACATTAAATCAAATTAAGTTATGTTGTGTTTAAGTAGGGGTGGACTCGGGTTGGGCCACCCGGCCCGGTACCTGGTACCCGGTCTTGGGTCCGGTTCGGGCCAACCGGAACCGCCCTAATCTCGGTGCGGGCTCGGGCCCCCTAAAATGCGAACCGGCATGGCCGGTTCGGGCCTTTTTTTTGTTTTTCAATTTTTTTTGTATCTACCGGGTTGGGCTGAGTGTTTTGGGGGTGGGGGGTGAAGGGGGGGTCGGGGGTTATTTAGAAAATCAAAAGAAAGTAAAAAAAATAACATCGAACCGGAACCGGCGGCTACCCGGGCCGGTTTCGGTTCCACCATTCCCAAATAAAAGCCCGGTCGGGCCCAGGCCCGACCCGGAACCGGCCCGGGTCCATCCCTATGTTTAAGTGGTTTGGTTTAGCTCGAACCAAGCCCAAATAAAATTGTCGACTCTTAAGATTAGGATGGAAAAAGGAAAGAAATATTTTACTTCACTCTCCCACATTTAGAATTCCTTGGTTGATTCTAAATTTTAAAGCAAAGAATCTGGTGTCGCTAATAAAATGGACTCCCTGGAAAGAGACACCTGGTTTCTGGTGTGGTGTGTATCCAGAAAAATTAAAATATTTTGTAGCAAACAAGCAAACATTTTTCATTTTGTTTGTACAAATGCTGCCCACGTTTACTACTCCATCCGTCTCTTTTTGTCTAGTCAATTTTGATTTTTGAAGTTAAGTTAAATTTTGATCGATTGTATACATATATACGATAATATTGATAATATGAAAATGATATGAAAATATTCGTTATTAAAATACTACTCCGGTATTATAAAAAATATAAATTTATTAAGTTTCACATAAATATATTAGTGAAAATAATGAATTAAAGTTTATTACCATCTTTGCAAAAGTCAAAGATGACTAAAAAAGAAAGGGGTATAATTTACATATAACAAATTTTGCTGCATACAACAACCGAGATTAAAAGAAAGGTACAACATTTCTATCATCACTTCTATCCGCAGCTTACTGAGACAAATTAAGGGGTCAGTTTTCAGAAGCTGGTCCCCGCAGCTTCTAAAAAAACTGATTCTAGGAGTAAATTAGAGCACCAGAATCACTTCTGCACTTTCATCCAAACACTCCAGCTTCTACTTCTACTCCCTGAAAGAGCAGAAGCAGTTTTAAGAATCAGATATCCAAACACCCCCTAAGTTGTGATGGTAAAAAAGATTATTTTCAAATAAATATTTAAATAACTTTTCTAAAAAAATCGGTTTTCTGTTTAAATTTAAATGGGGTTGGGCCTTATATATATGGCCCCTAGGCCCTAGTTACACCCCAATCCACATTAATATAAACTCAGAAGTTCATTATTATTATTATGATAATAATAATTATAACGATACTAATAATAATAACAATAATAATAACCTAAAAGCAATGCTATTTTCCCTTTTTGGGGAGAGGTCTGGGTAAATAGTGCTGGAACCGGTGGCCTCATGAATTGAAGTTTCAAACCCAAGAATTCCCGTATGAGTCGACGACAAGTTGAACTAGACCCACTTTCCTTCTTTAGCTTGGAAGTGCTTTAAACTAAAGCATGCTTGGAAATATTATTTCCCAGGGAGTACTTTTTTTAAAACTAAGCAAATACAACAAAACACAATACAGGTATATGGTTGTAAAAAAACCTTCCAAAAGGCAGTTTGTAATAGAAAAATTGCAATAGAAGCTGTCATGATGTCTACGTTAAACCTTTGCCGTTTCTTCAAACATGAGAGGGTTCTTTCTCTCTATCGACCTTCTTAGGTAATTGTATTTTATTTGCAACTACTTTAAATTTTTTGTGTATATATGCATGTATATCTCCAATTCAAATATGAAATTATCTTCTACAAAAATGGGAATTCTTCTTGAATGAGTGTAAATGCATGAACTTATAACATTCTCGGTCACATATGTTCTCTTCCTTTTTTCATTCATTTCTTGATTAATTGAATGAATGCATATGCAATTCAGTGGTAACTGGTAAGTTTTTGAAGATCTCATGTTTCTTTCATCCATTGCAGCATAAACATCATCAAAGGTTTCTATTTAGAAACTTAGAGTATCCATGGAGGCTAGACTGCGATCCGCGTGAGTTCCTTTCTTCTTAGACTACTTTCATTCATTTCTGCAGCTACGCTAACATAGATTTCACCCCCACCCCACCCCCCTCGCCTGATGTTCAGAGACGATGTACACAAAAGAAAGCTGCAGAAAATCAAAGTTGAAGATGTGGTCAAGCCATTCCAACAACCCTTTCAAGAAAAGAGTACAAGGTTGAAGCTCCATCACCTCAAACTTCTCTTGTTTGTTTTGGTAATTGCAACTTTCATCATTCTTCTGGCCACCCCAAATGGTTGTAGCCGCTACAGCTCATCCCAACCTTCCAATAAGTAAGTTCACACTATTATTCATAGACTTAGACTTGCGTTTCTATACTACAAGTCAACTTGTGTTAGGAAGAAGAGTCTGCAAACTTTAAATGAGACATATCCACCTTAGAGTAGTAAGACTAAAGTTGGCTGAATTACTGACGTTGTAGTTGAAAATGTAGAATCATTAAAAAGTGGGATCTGATTTTTTTAGTTAAAAAATGATAGAGAAAAAAACTGGTTCTCTCTTCAACAAGTTTAGCCAATTCATCCCAAAAAATATCCTTAATCTTATCCTTTTTCATAATATACCAATTCAGCGCAAAGAATTAATATTTGTTAATGAATAGTTAAAGCTGAGAAACAATAGGAAAACATGTTAGTATGTTACCAAATGAGCATTTAAATATTATGCAGGCCTCATTTGGTGAAAAGGTGGTGGATTTGGGGGGTTCCAGATCCCAGATACATATCAGACTTAGTTGTAAACTGGGATGAGGTGTCCATTGCTGTCAATGAATTAGCAAAAAGTGAGAAGATCATAAGAACAGGTCTCCTCAACTTTGATGAGGATGAGATCAGGCAATGGAAACTGATGATTCCAGAAGCTAACCACACAGTTTTGCATCTTGATCATGTCGAACAGAATGTAACTTGGGAGACCTTGTATCCCGAATGGATCGATGAGGAACAAATGTATGAAACACCTAGCTGCCCTTCTCTACCAAAGCTTGACGTGCCTAGAAAACCGATCGATTTGATCGCGGTTAAGCTCCCTTGCAAGGGGAACTGGACTAGAGACGTGGCTAGGCTACACCTGCAGCTCGCGACTGCTGGTTTAGCCTCATCTGCTAAAGGCACCCGCCCAGTACACTTGCTTTTCCTCACCCGCTGTTTCCCCATTCCAAATCTATTCACTTGTCAGGAGCTTGTTGCGCGCAAAGGCAACATTTGGCTGTACAAACCAAACTTGAATGTCATGAGACAGAAGCTCCAGCTCCCGGTAGGATCCTGTGAACTAGCCCTTCCATTTGGTGCCACAGGTTAGTCAAAACTCAGAATCTGTTTAGGCTCAGTTATGTTTGCTGATTCGACTTATTCTGCTTATAACTCACTTATTTACATAAAATGAATGCTATCAAATGTTTTTGTTTTCAGAAAATTCAACCACACACATGAGGTGGGGGGCAGTGAGTCTTACCTCACACTTATATATTGAACAGAATCTAATAATCATCTTTCCCAATGCACTTAAAATAAAGCTAATTCAGAATATAATAACAAGAGGAGTCTTGTTTCTAATACAATATTAAAAAAAACATACAGGAGTACTGGGGGAGCCCAAGCGTGAAGCGTATGCAACGATCCTACACTCGGCTTATGTATATGTGTGTGGAGCCATAGCTGCAGCGCAGAGCATCAGAATGGCGGGTTCAACCCGAGACTTGGTGATTCTTGTTGATAACACCATTAGCGAATACCACAGAAGTGGACTAGCAGCTGCAGGGTGGCAGGTCCGTACAATCGAGAGAATAAGGAACCCTAAAGCCGAGAAAGATGCATACAATGAGTGGAATTACAGCAAGTTCAGACTATGGCAACTCACTGATTACGAAAAGATCATCTTCATAGACGCGGATCTCCTAATTCTCAGAAACATGGATTTTCTTTTCGGGATGCCTGAGATTTCTGCAACAGGGAATAATGGCACCCTCTTCAACTCCGGAGTGATGGTGATCGAGCCTTCCAACTGCACATTCCAACTCCTCATGGATCACATCAACGAAATCGAATCCTACAACGGCGGAGATCAAGGGTACTTGAACGAAATATTCACCTGGTGGCACCGCATCCCGAAACACATGAACTTTCTGAAACATTTCTGGATCGGCGACGAACCAGAAGTCAAGCAGAGGAAAACAGAGCTGTTCGCGGCGGAGCCGCCTATCCTATACGCCGTCCACTACTTGGGATACAAGCCGTGGCTGTGTTACCGCGACTACGATTGCAATTGGAACGTGGACATTCTGCAGGAATTCGCGAGCGACGCAGCGCACGATAAGTGGTGGAGAGTGCACGATAGCATGGAGGCGGAGCTGCAGGATTTGTGCCTGCTGAGGTCGAAGCAGAAGGCGCAATTGGAGTGGGACAGGCGGCAAGCGGCGGCGGCGAATTACGGTGACGGCCACTGGAAAACCGAGATTCGAGATCAGCGGCAGAAGAGGTGCACGGATAGGCTGTGTGATTGGAAGAGTATGCTGAGGCATTGGGGGGAGAAGAACTGGACTTATAACCCCTACTTCCACCCTTCGCCGCCGCTCGTGAAACTGCGGTCCCGTACCAAACCACCGCCGGTGTCGTCGTCGTCTTAATGGCCATCAGTCAATGTTCAGATTTAAATTAATGCGTGATTATTTTTGTTTATTGAAATGGCGCAACTCCATTGATTTTCCTTTATTAGCTATTTAGCTCTAGGCTAGATTGTATCTTCCCCTCCATTATTGAGTATTGAGTTACCTGAAACATGCTCATTCATTATGGGTCTTTCATACGGAGTATCTAATTTTTAGAGATTATTACTCCGTACTCGAAATGAACAAAAAAATTGAAAATTTTTAGAGTGATATCTATTTTAGGATTAATTATTGTCGTATTTTGAAAGTATCAGACTTCAAATATGACAGTATTTTCTAAAATTGACAGTAAATACTCTTATTTTGAAAATAAAAACATGACAGTTTATTTTGAATTTTCAAACTCTTTTAGTCTTATTTCGGAAATTTTCCCTAGCTTTTATTATTTTCTCTCTTCTTTATAACTTAGGCCAAATTTGATTTGAAAATGGAATAGAAAACTAAAAAGTGATTAGATACTTTGATAGTTTGGTCCATATCACACATGAATAGATTATAACAATATATTTGTTACTTTAAAATAGGTTTTCAAGACTATATATAAACAAAGTTGACAATATTTTATAACGGGTAGTGTAATATTTTTAAACAACTGACAATATTTACTAGTATTATTTATGGTAATTGTAACAAATACCCATAAAAATTGCAAATTATACCGTGGGATCGGCCCACCATGCCCATGGTGTGCCGATCCCAAAATGACATAGTCTGGTTAATTAAAAAGCATAGCAATTAACAACTCGGCTGGAGAAGGAAAGAGTTCCAATCGCACAATCGCCGTCGCTGGCGACTTTGTTTGCCGGATTGAGATCCACACCAGCGACCCCTGTTCGTAGCAATTAAATCCCAGCAAATAAAATCCCACCAATCACCAATTAAATTCATACATATACGGGGAGTGTTTGAAGACAAGCAAAGCAAAGAGGAAGGAAAAACACGACATAGACTTAACCATGTATTAATCAAGGATAGGCCGTGTAGATTCATTTTTAATTACATATTCATAAACATTGTTAGTGCAATTATTTGGCAATATATTTTGCATTAAAGAGAGTTGATCACAAAAGTTAAAGAGGCTTAATGATGGCTGTTGTAACGGATTTGTGTTTATTGCTGGAGTTATCAACGATATTAAGGCTGGAGGTTACTTATTTTGAGCTGGCCAGCATTGATGACGAGTTGCGAAACCGACGACGGGTCGGAACCGTTACGTCAAACCGCCAAAACAGACAAATTGAGTCATTGAAGCGTCAAGAATATCATTTTTAAATATTGTAACGTTTTTTGTACATTATTAGGCTCCTTAATGTGATTAAGGAGGGTATTAAATGTGTTTGACCAGCTTTTATGACGGATTTGAACCCGTCGGTACGTAACGGATGGCCAATCCGTCAATAACGGAAAAAACCATCATTAGAGCTTTAATTGCTTTTCCTATAAATAGAATAGCCTCATTGTAATCAAGGGGCTGAAACATTCGAATAATACTCAAGTTTTCCTTCTTGTTCACTCTCTTGTCATCTCCTTCTCTATTCTTGTTCGAAGCCCTTTCTTTATACGAATTCCTTTTTAATTAGTTTTAGCTTATCAATATTTTGCTTAAATAATTTGGCGCCCACCGTGGGGCATCGTGCAAGAAAGAGTTTAGATATGGCAGGAACAAATCAATTGTTGATTGAATTCCATGAGCAGCTAGAGACGATCCGAGAGGAATTCCGGCGTGAGGTGGCGGAGAAAATGGCCCATCTTCAACGGGAGAACGATGTACTTCGGTCCCAGGTACAATCTGCGGTGTCAATAGCCTCAAAATCAAGACTCAATCGGAGGAGTGACACAATGACTGCCGCAACAAGGCTAGATCTCGGAGTCTCCCCGCCATCGACGATTCCACTCGCGGCATCGACGGATCCAGTATCTCTTACGCTGGGTCTGTCGCCAACGCCGACTGGAGAGCCATACTCGACGGTCATATCGCAAGTTATTCCTTACACGCCTCTCATACCAGCAACTATACCACCAGCCAGCACTCCGGCTTGTTATTTTCCGGAATCTATTCGAGTCGGACCGAATGGATCGGGCCTACATTCAGCGACCCAAAGCATGCCTATGACAACTCTGTCCTCCGCCCCGACAGACCCGTCGATTCCCCATTACAGGAGCAGAACCAGTGGGGACCCCGGTCCATCCCGTTCCAATCCGTCAACTGGTGTGACTTTTACCCCAATGGAACCGTTTACTCCTCACTACAGTAGCAGAATTTATGGAGAAGCTGGTCCGTCAAGTTTCATGCAGGACGCTAGGCGAAGTGGGCCTAGTGTATCATTCTTAGAGCCCCGACCGCGGCGCTCTGACAGACCCGACGGGTCAGCAACGTCGACGCTTCTTGAGCGACGTCCCGAGGTGATCTTCGTCCCATCTCCAACCCGTCCTGAAGTCACCCAGATGGCAGGACCGACGTTTTCATTTCCAGTACCAAATCATCCAGTTGTGGCAGATCAGATGTCTATGTTGATGGAGCAAATGCGTCAAATGCAGGACAAAATCAACAGGCTACCAGGAGTACCCCCACCTTTGGATAGAGCGTCAAGGACATGTTATGCAGAATCCCCATTCAGCAGACGCATCACCAATGTCGAGATACCCAGGAAGTTCGTCGCCCCTGCCATGAAGATGTTTGACGGAACGTCCGACCCATTGGAACACGTCGCTCAATTCAAACAGCGTATGCTAGCCGTAGCACTCACTCCGGACCAGAGGGAAGCGTGTATGTGTCGAGGTTTTGGAACGACGCTCTCAGGACCAGCCTTGACCTGGTTCGTCAACCTGCCGAACGAAGGGATCGATTCGTTCGAAGAATTGATCGACTCGTTCACGCAGCAGTTTGCAAGCAGTCGTACCCTGGAGAAGCAAACGAGCGACCTATACCGGATTATCCAACAGCGCGATGAATCTTTGAGAGATTACCTTCATCGTTTCAACAGGGAAAAGGTATCAATCTCAAGATGCGACATACCTACGGCAATCGAGGCGTTCAGGAGGGGATTGAAGAATGATTCTGAGTTATACAGGGAGTTGACAAAGTTTCCTTGTCGCACATTCGAAGACGTCCAGGCTATAACCTTAGCCTTTATCAGGTTAGAAGAGGATTTGCGGGCACAACCACACTTTGACGGTTATGAAGGGGGGCACCGCAAGTCCAATACGTCCAGACGGCATGATTACCGAACCGGCAAACCTTACGCCAAAGAAGAACGACCTGTTGCGGCAACGACACATTGGTTTGACGACCCTGATCTACCACCAGTTATCCCAGATTATTGCTTTAATGTCAGTACGGCAGGGCTCATCAACTCACTGGAAAGGCTTGGAGAGAAAGTCTGATGGCCAAGGAAAACCGACAAACCAGCTGGAAAGCGAGACCCGAGTAAGCATTGTGATTTCCACGATGACATCGGACACAATACCGAAGATTGCGTCGCATTACGGAAGGAGGTCGCGTATCTTCTAAAATATGGGTATTTGGCAGAGATCATGTCAGAACGGACTAAAGCCCTTTTAGGACGAACTGACAAGCCGTCAACTAAGGCGACACGACCTCCATCGCCTTCGGCTCCCTGTCAGGTAATTAATTTTATTAATGGCGGGTCGGATTTATGTGGCCTAACGTATTCTGCTGCCAAGAGACACGCTCGGGAGTATTCCCGAGACAAGTCATTACAGGTATGCCAAGTTGAAAGACGACGTGACGACTGGAGAAACACTGCCATTGCTTTTGACGAGTCAGATATGCCAGATCCTATGCAACCCCACCATGACACTCTGGTCATATCCCTTAGAGTAACGAACTTTGAAGTGAAGCGAGTCCTTGTTGACAACGGAAGCACGGCCAACATAACTACCATGCGGATGCTGGAGCAGATGGGAATCAAAGAGGAGGACATAGCAAAATCAGGATCTACCCTTGTCGGTTTCAATGGAGAGCCAAGCCGAACCATAGGTAATATCTCTCTCCCTGTTTACGCTAACGGTCTTAATGTGCAGGTCAGGTTCGATGTAGTCCAAGACCTCCCAGCTTACAACATGATTTTGGGGACGCCATGGTTACATCAAATGGGAGCCATTCCGTCGACGTATCACCAGGTCGTCAAGTTTCCGACGCCTTGGGGAGTGGAGTCCATTCGAGGAGACCAGGTGGTAGCCAAGTCTTGCTATCAGACGGCCATGAAGCCTACAGCAAATCCTCCAACTTCAGCATAGCAACTAAAGGGTGACCCAGCTTTGGAGGAAGATGACGAAAAAATGGAAGAAGTAGTCATCGACAACGAACATCCAGAACGCGTCATCCGCATCGGGACAAATTTGCCAGCAAGCCTCAGAGCTGAGTTGGTCCAGTTTCTTAGACAACATAAGGACGTATTCGCTTGGAGTCATAAAGACATGACGGGAATTGACCCAAAAATCATCACGCACAAGTTAAATGTTATTCCGTCATGTAAACCCGTCAGGCAACGAAGAAGGCGTTTTGCAAGGGAGAGGAATGACATCATAAACCAGGAAGTCGAAGCACTTCTCCAAACCGGGAAAGCTAGAGAAGTCAGATATCCGGATTGGTTGGCCAACGTCGTTGTCGTCAAGAAGAAAGCAGCAAAAGGAAAAAAGGCAAAGTGGCGAGTGTGCGTGGACTTCACCGATCTGAACAAAGCATGTCCAAAGGATTCATTCCCGATGCCTCACATTGACGTATTGCCCGATGCGACTGCCGGACATGAGATGCTCTCATTTATGGATGCCTTTAGCGGATACCACCAGATTCAGCTACATTCTGATGATCAAGAAAAGACGGCCTTCATTGCTGAAACAGGTACGTATTGCTATGTTGTTATGCCATTTGGTCTTAAAAATGCAGGTGCGACGTTTCAAAGGCTCGTCACCATGATGTTCAAAGATCAAATCGGAAGAACCATGGAGGTATACATAAATGATATGATTGTCAAATCAAAGAAAGCTGAAGACCATATTGACAACCTGTCGGAATCATTCAAGAAGTTGAGAGAATACAACCTGAAGCTCAATCCGTCCAAATGTGCCTTCGGTGTGTCATCAGGGGAATTCTTGGGCTATATCGTCAGTGAA